CCCCCCGAAAAAAAGAAAGACTAGGTTTTTATATTTTTTCAAATAAATATATTTGCCTACTTTTAACGCTGTTGGTGGCCTTAATTTCTGCTTTGAAAACAAGTTTGGTACGAAGAACTAAGTTTCTATTTATTCCATCGTTAATGGAGAGCGGAAACAACTCCAGGGCGGGAGGTTGAAGTTATAACGTTGTTACCCTATTTTGCTTGAAATGCCTAACAGGGAGGTAGCACAAATGAATATTTTCACTTGGAAAAGTAATGCTATTTCCCAAGCTCCTTGTAAAAGCAGGATACAGCTCTGTGCTGTACCACCTTTGCCGGTAAAAAAAAAAAAAACTTTTCTCCAAAAGTTAAAACAAGGTGTTCACAGTAGGAAGGTGAGCTGTAAAAATACATCGCGGTTATGGTCACAATATGTCACAGCGATAACTGGCCAAAGTACGTTCACTCTGTTTAACGTCACCGGCTTCAATGGCACTGGAAACTCATCTAGCCCTGTTCTAATATTAGAACTACATGGTATTTTTAAGGCTTTCACTTCACAGGGTTTCAATCCATGAAGGCTCCTAAGCCCCCCCTGCTGTTTCACCTTCAGTTTCAGGTTTGAAGAACCAAAACCTTAAGAGAAACCCAAGTGAAAGCCACATGTTTTTCTTGATTCAACTGTAGTTGTCGCAATGTTATGAATATGACATTATAATTCATAAATATTTGTGAACCCCTGGGCAGGCAAAGGTGGACTTCACTGCTTAACACTGCTTACTGAATTTCCCTGTGGCTTTACATTTGTAAAATAAAAATCTGATATAGATTGAGCTTTTCTCCAAATCAGTATTATATTGGGCCTAAGACTAACCAATTCAACTGCAGCAGGACAAAAGCCCCAAGTTTTGTTTTAAAATGGATTCTCTCCCGAGATGTCAGCCACTCACTACAAGCAGTAAACGTTTCCACCACGAGGTGTCTCAGAGGTTATAGCACTGAAAGAAGAAATTTGGGACTGACTGTAAGCACAAAAAATGGCATTTCCTTATGGTCACACTTAGTTATTTCTGCTCAGTAAACAACAAAGAATATTCAGTGTAAAATAGTTGCTTTCTACCTTTGCTGTACCCTAAGTGTAAGTGAACTATATTTTAGGAAGTTATAAATTTTTACTACTCTTTGAAAGAAATAAAGCGTTATGGTGAAACAACTGTGAGACTATCCACCTCAAAAGAGAAGAATAAACAAGAAGCAACTCTTGGTTCCATCTCGCAGTGGCAAGCTGCTATGCCCACTGGAAGTATCAGCAAATGCAACTTCTGGGGGTTAACAAGGGGATACGATCTCAACAGCAGGTATTCCAGCTATAGACAAATTGAACTGGCACAGAGTGGACCACTGACAGTGTTCACCATACTGAGTGTAGTAAAGAAGAGATTGACAGATTAGGAGGGCTATGAACATTGGAAAGATATATTTTAGAAAATGAAGGATACTGATGAGAAACTTACTGAAGAAGTTCTTAAACTAATTCTTCTGGAGGAAAAAGTGCTAAAGAACAAGTATTTGTAGTAACACTAATTTGGATGAATGTTAAGATTTTATAATCCTCGCCCCTCCGGCATGCCCACTGCCAAGTAGATCAGAAAAAGCCTGACTGATAAAAAAAAAAAACACACTGATTTTTCTCTCTTGCCATCTCCAGATCTGCGTGCACGTGGCATAGGCTTTGATCCACCAGACAAACGTGTTCCACGTTGCATGTCTTTTAAACACTAGAGCCACAATCCTCATCACAAGTGACAATTTCTTTCTATCTCAAACTACTTCATAGCATAATTCTGCTCCCAGACCTGTTTAAATCTGGATGACTCACCTGAAGTCCACAAACTAGCCAGGATATGATTAAATGTCTTTGTAACACCATAAATGCAATGTAAGTATTTATCCTGGGCTTGCAATCAGACACATTGATGTAGCTATGAGGACCTGAAACAGAAATGACCTCTGCTAACAGTCACCCGATTTTGTAAATATTCACGCTAGGCAGCTTGCTGTTATAATACAAAAACAAACACCGAGGAAAAAAGCTTGAGATGTTCTCGACAGTATGTCCCACTGCAAATAAACTGTCTCTGAGACTGGAAACTCTTCAGGACAGCTGTGATACATTTGAAGCTGCTCTGTAGTATTTCTCCATACTTCTTATTGATTTGGTTATTGGGATGCTTACTGCATATATTTTAGTTTAGTTTAACAGAGACTTTTGGGAAAAAGAAGCAAGTGAGAGAGAGGACTCAAGATCCTTCCCTCCCCGACAATGCTAACAGCTATGTTAAAGATTATGCCAGTGTTACTACTTTTGAAGATTTTTCCTACTATACAACCAATCTACAAAAGTGAATTGAGCAAGTGTAAGAAGTGGTCAATGACTAAAGAGAGGAAAAGACCTGTAGCAGTCTTCAGAAGGAATACTCGAAAGAGTGAATTAGGCTGACACTGAGGTGTCTGAAGTTATGCGTGTCTCGGTTACCATCGAGGCAGCGATAATCTTCAGGTAAGAAAGGCATGTGTGTCAGCAGGTGGTTGATTTAGATTTGTTTTTCCGTAAACTCTTTTCTCTTCCTATAAATACAAACAAAATACTGACAAGAAGTCTGTTTTATCTCTGTATTATTAGTTGCAGATTTCTGGAGGAAAAAGCCACATGTGTCCAACCAATTAAGTAAGAATAATTACTCCTCGAGGTTCTTTTAAGTGTCCTATCTACAAACAGTAAAACTCTGTGAATCACAGTAACATCTACCACAGCTCAAGAAACAATTAAATCTTGCAAGGAGATGCTGGGTCTGCATTCCCTTTGCATTCCCTGGGCATTTTTATCTAGAAGGGAACAGTTCAATGGCAGAAATTCAAGTAGTACCACAGGAACTCCAGATGTTCAAAAAAAAAAAAAAGAAAGCAAAACAGAGTGGACAGAAAGATCAGAGCAGTGAAGAACCCGAAGGTGCAGCCTAGCACCTTTACCCTGCTGCAGGCTCTGCTAGTCAAGACTATGGCATACTGGGATAAACCTGTCTGGAACAGCAGGGATTTCTGCAGAACAGTTTCATTATACTGGGACTCAACACAGTTTCGTGAATAACAGCATCACCTTTTAAAGAATGAAGAAGGAAGTAAAATGCCTACAGCAACATCTGGTACATAAAGCTGAGAGACAGGATGAAAGGAGCGTCTAATAGCTGCTACATTGGCCATTCAGTGTGCACAGCAGAGCTCTCAGCGACTTTCCTGTGTCACTTGATGATGAGAGTTCTCCTCTCTCTCCCTCCTCCACTGTTTCACTCCCTGCTTGAGCACTGATTAAATCTGCTCTCCAAGCGGATTTTCCTGTACACCATGACAAATATGCCTGTAGGCCATTTTTTAACCCAGATGAGTGAAAGTAATGCAGGGCCAGACAAGAGATTACAGTGACAGTA